CCAAGCACAGAAAAAGTATCTTTGGCAACAGGGTGGTCAGTCTGATACAGAACTGCAAACTAGGATCTGTGGGGTGGAGAGAGAATCACCAAAACAAGGTAAGAAAGTGGTAGACAAACAAAGAACATGGGGCAAATGAAGGGAGCTTGTTGTCAACAAAACAGGGCTAAAGAGGGTCCGTGACAGGAACACATCACATGAAGAAGGAAGACCCTACCAGAGAGAGTTATGGAGGAAGCTTTCATATTCTTTTTGGGAAATCAGCATGTGGGGCTCCTGCTCTGAAATCTCCTACACCAACACATGCCATGTGGGACATGATCAGGAAAAATGAGGGTTCTGTTGTGCTTTAGCAGAGTTATGCCATCATTGGGATCATGGAAAGGTGGTGATATATCTCACAGATACTGCACTAAGTGACTATCAGCTCTTCAGAAAGGACAATTGTGAATGCAATGAGGGGGACATGTGAAAGAAAGCAAGGCTCTGACTGGTGACAGGCACTGAGGCCAGTGGGAAAACCGGGGCAGGGTGTACTTAGTTGTGGTAGAGTTGAAAAGTTAGGGAATTTTTAAACGATCTGTATACAACCTTAAATCCATGGTGCCTGAAGGGATGGATCTGTGAGAGCTAAGGGAGATAGCTGGTGTCATTGCAGAACCTCTCTTGATTAACTCTGAAAGATTGTGGTGATAGGAAGAGGTTCCTTAGGACTGGAAGAAAACAGATGTCACTCCTTTATCAGGAAGGGGAAGAAGGAATGTCCTGGAAACTACAGCTCTACCAGCCTCACACTGATCTGTTGGAAGGTGATGGAGTATATATTCTAGGAAGCCATTTTCAAGTGTGTGGAGAAGAAAGTGGTGACTGTTAGTAGTCACCATAGATTTACAAAAGGGAAAGCCATGGCTGTCCAGCCTGATAGCTTCTACAATGAAAAGACTTAATGGAGAAGGAGAGAAAAAGGGCTGTTTCCTTAACTATAAATAAGGCTTTCAACATTACCTCCCATAAAATACTCCTAGAGAAGATGACGGAGTGGATAAATTAATTGAGAGCTGATGAAACAATGAGTCCAGAGTGATGTTAAGAGTGACAGGAAGTCTGGCTAGTGGCAGTGACTAATGGCGCACCTTAGGGACCCATACCATGGTCAATATCCTTTACCATTTTTTGCTAATAGCCTGGATGATGGGGCAGAGTTAATTTTCAAAAATTAATTAATTAATTAATCAACAAATGTGTGAGGATGTAAATGTGCTGCCTGGTAGAAGGAACAGGCTGGAAAACTGAACAAAGAGGTGCCTCATGTAGTTCAACAAAGAGAAATGTGAGGCCCACCTTTTGGAGAGGACTTATTCCAGTCACCTGTACAGTCTGCAGAATAATGGGCTGGGAAGTAACTTTGCAGATCAGGAACTCAGCATCCTGGTGGATTAAAGCTGAACATGAGCCAGGAGTGTGTTCATATCGCAGAGAGGGCTGATTGTCTTTGGTCTAAATTTAGAGATGCCATTAGCGAGGTGTAATCCTGCCCTTTGCTGAACACTGATATGACACATCTGGACTGCTGGGTACAACTAGGTGCTTCTCTGTACAAAAGATATGGTCTTACTGGAAGAGGTCATTAAAATGCTGGAGACACAGGAGTATCTAGTCATATAGGGAGAAGCTGAGAGCATTGGGCTGTCCTTTCTGGGGAAAGGGAGGTTTAGGGGTGATCTTTTCAGTGTGTATAAATACCTGATGAAAAGGAACAAAGACTTCAGAGCCAGTCTTTTTGGTTTTGTTCTCCTTCTTTCCCACTTCCCTTACCCTTGGGAATTTCACAATGGTAAGCAGTGAGCTAATTAGAGTATATGGCAGAAGGTTATTCAGGATGTCCATCCTGAACCTCCGGAAGAATTCCTTCAGAGAAACAGTGAATGAACATTGAAATGGACTGCCTAGGTATTATGAGTAAGACGTGGTGGTTGGCTCATGCAAATGAGGAGGAGTTGTTGAGTGTGGTGGGGAGAGGTTCTGTTGGGGTTGGCATTTCTTTTGACATGTACTTTTGTTGTTCCAGTGTGGTTTTGAACCCTTTTCCATTCTCCCTTCAATTCTCCCCCCTGAGGCGGCTGCTGGCATCTCTGGCTGACGGGACTGTAGTGCCTTTTGGAGGAGGGAATGTGCTTGCCCCTTGTGGAAAGTGGCAGGGAGTGGGCGACTGTGGGAAACTAATTAGATGGGAGAGATCATATGTGGGACCAGGTTCCTGAGATGGAGGGAATAAACCTGAAGCCCTTGGGAAGAGGGGTGCTGGGGGGATGCTGATGGAGTCATCCTGCCTTAGACTTATAAGGTCCTGTCCCTGGTCTGTGTTCATGATTGGACCTTTGCCCTCAGATATCCTCTGAGGGTCCTATCTACCTTCATCCTGTGGCAAAACTCACCACACTGCTTGGCTCGGAAGGAGCACCTCAAACCATTTGGTCTCTATGAACATTAAAATCTATCTTGGGGTTCTCCATTGCATCCAGCCCTCTATTATTGCCACACCACCTGGCCAGACAAGGTGTAACCCAGGTCCTGGGTTACAAAGAGCTGACTGCAACAGGGGAAGCCTGTTGCTGGGAGGCCTGGCAGGGCAGCATTGCACCACCAATCAAGTGCAAGAAGAGCTCCACCAATGAAAGCCACAGAAGGACATATAAGGACTGCTTATAAATATTAATAAGGCTGATGTGATCTTGGGTTATAAAAGGCAGAGACACCATTTTGTGGGTGACCCTCTGGTGAGTAGAAATAATAGAAATAGTCTCCCAGCACTGTCCCCCTTTTCTTTGTAATTTTTGTGGGTTCTAATTAAATTTTATTTACTCATTCCTGCCCAGGGTTTGGGTCATTTATAACACTAAGGAAGTGGTGGAGTCACTATCCTTGGAAATGTTCAAGAAATGACTGGATGTTCAAGAAAGGACTGGCATTCAGTCCTCTGGTCTGGCTGACAAGGTGGTGATCAGTTGTTGCAGCTGCAAGGGATAAAACATGACTCCAAGGTTCATGTAGTAATAGCAGATTTTATTATTAACATCTATGTTTTATATGGTTTTCAAAAAATCTCATGTTTGGTCCCAATTGGCTAGAAATTCGTTACCCCCCAGCTCACTGGCCAATAGCTACCTGCATACATGCTTGTCAGGGATTGGCGGCCATTCATTGTTTGCATTTGAATCTCTTGGCCTCTCAGTGTCTTCTTCATAGAAATGCTTACTTCTTTTCCTGTGATGGCATGGGCTCATTGACTTATGGTCAGGGTTAATTATGACTGTGAGGCTTCCAGGCCAGCTTTTAGCTGTCACAATCAGTCACAGGTTGGACTTAATGATCTTGAGTGTCTTTCCCAACCTAACTGACTCAGTAATTCTATGAAAATAATTTTTGATTAAACACAAGAAAACAAATTCTTTGGTGTGAGGGTGGTCAAGCACTGGAACAGTTTGTTCAAGAGAACTCATGGTGCCACTGCCCTCCGAGGTACTCAAAACCAGACTTGACATGGTCTGGAGCAACCTACTCTAGGTGAGCCTGCGATGAGACAAGGGACTAGACAAGATGACCTCCAGAGTTCTCTGTTAACCTCAGCCATGCTGTGATCCTGGGATTTTCCTGAGACACAACGGACAGAAGACCTGATCTCTGGAGTCTACATCCTGCTGGCCACAGTGTCAAAAGATGGAAGCTGGAGAAAAAAATCCTTGTGGGCACAGTCTTGCACCAGAAAGAGGCAGAAATAATGTCCCTTTTCTAGAGCCAGTCCTCTTCACTGTGCAGTTAGAGTAGAAGAAATGACCTTTCCCTTGTAAAAAGACTCAGTTACCATGAAGGGTCACTGTTGATCAACCATAGACCTCAGCTCACTAATTGCAGTCTTGTTGGGCACAGGAATGTGTAGTAGAGCCTGTTTCTTTTTTATTATCTTTTAATTTAGAAATAGCTGAAGATCAAATATGGACGAATACACATTATTATTGCCACTTTATTTATAACTCATAGGAGAACACTGTATTTGACCTGAAGCCATGGAAAAGGCTTCGAAAATTGGGTGATAGAACTGAGATTGCGGGTATGTAGTTTGAATAGAAGTGTGTTATATCACATGGTGGAAAATTTAGAGTTTAAGGTTTTGGGATATAGTAATACATATTTTGAGGTGCCCCTGCCCAGGGAGACAAAGATTTAGTTTCAGATAAGCATTGTTAAAGTGAGACGTGTGGCTTTAAAGCCTGGGAACAGTAAATTCCACCCTCTGCTTCAGGGGATGGGGAGAGTTTGGGAAGAGTTGCCCCACCCCAAACCCTTGTGGGGTGGCAGCCCAGGGTGATCTGATTGGTTTTGTGCCCCTGGGGTTTCTCCCTTGCTATGTTCCTATTAGACCACATCCTTTAACTCCGCCCTGGTTCTGTCCTACTAAACCCACCACCTGCCTCTGTTCGGGGTTCTCTGTCTCTGGATTTAAGCTGAATTTGTTCCTATGTTGAATAAATGGTTGCCTGAGCAGAAGCCTGTCTCATTGAGTCCCTTGCTGGTTACCAGTAACTGTAGGCTCCCTGGATGTGATCCTGCAGCTGCAAAAGGCTACAATATATGTGGCAAGATGGAGGTTTTAGGGCATAGGCTTGTCTTGCTTTTTCATCTTCCTCTTCATGGGTTTGGGTGATACTGGGTGGAAAGGTCTGCAATGCAGAACACGGGTGTTTGGTTATTCAGCTAAAAGTAAAAATAAATTAGCATTCTACAGTTGGGTAACTCACACTTAGAAGGCAATGTAGAGAAAGATCTGTGGCTCCATTTTTACTCTGTTAGCTTGATGTGCTGTAGAACTCACAGTCTGTGACACTCTAATATAGATAAGAAATACTAAACATCTAAGTCCAAACAGGAATACCGTCTCTTGCACATTAATTCCAACCCTGAGAAGAACCAGATAAACCATGAGACATTCTGCTTATCTTCTTCACTCTTGCTTTAATTTTTTTGCTAGCTTAGGGTCAGATGTTGCTATTCCCACATAAAGTGAGCAGGTCATTCTTACAGGAGCAGGTCCACTTCAGTCAATAAAGTCCATTTAGTTTAACTGTTACAACAATTAACCTGAAATGGAAAAAAAATAAGGAAAGTCATGATGCTTCACAACTTTTACAAGCCTGTTCTGGCCTTTACTCCAGGAATTTTCATAACTTCTAAGAAAAATACTCATGTCTGAGTATATACTTGTACTCTGAGTATATATTCATACTCTGAGTAAATGCCAGAGGCAAAATACATTTGGAAGAGACTTCACCTCAGCTACTGAAACCTGTGATATGAAAGCAAAGCCTGTTGTTCCCGACCTGGGGTTAGGTTCCATGGTGGGGGCAGGAAGCTCTGCACAAGGGCTGTTCTCTCTATGTCACCTCTGACAACAGCAGCCACAACCTGGAACAGCAAAGGAGCCACCAATCTCTCTCTCCTCAGGGGAGCTGATAGTGCAGCAAACTGAAAGACAACTTTTTATCATGCCATCTGCTAGACACTGGCTCCCTATGAGGAGGAACCTTGGTGGGCTGGTTGTAATGTAGGGTTGAGATGGCACCGGGGGAGTCAATGTTCAGCAGAGGCATAAATGCCAGTATCCATTAGTGCCAAAGCAATGAGGGGTAAGACCACATGTCACAGTCACTAGTGAGTGGTGAAGCTCTGAACAGGACTCCTGAAACTTCACTTGAATTTTCATCCAAAGGCTCTGATCTGAGATAGTTTTCCAGCAGGGAAAAATCTGCTTTTCTCCCAGCTCTGTAGTGATTACAAACCAAAAGTGCAGCAGCAGCTGTCTATGCATCTTTCTAGTTTCTTCCTCCCTGAGGCACAGAACCTTCTACACAGAGATTTCTAAAAAAAAGTAAATTCACTGCATTCTCTAGATTTCCCTTCTAGTTCTGGAAGTAATCTTTTCTGATAGGAGAAAAATCTTAACCTCAAAGTCAAACCTCAAAAACCTTAACCTCCCTTAACCTCAAAGTGAAAACCAATGTTTTCATTTCTCATTGTTATTCTCACATATAAAAGTTTAAAAAAGAACACTAGCAAACAAATTTAGGTCAAATGGTAAAAGCAATACTGGCATAGCTGATGCTGTTTAAACACTTAATATTCTAATCCTTCTATTGCAAGAGCAAGGAAGTCAAGTCTTTTACTGACCGGGGGTTTGGACAGGCTTGACAGGTATGCCAATGCAAACTTCACCGAGTGCAACAAAGCAGTGTGAAGTCCTACACCTGGATTGGGACAATCTCAGACACACCTACCAGTTGGGTAGAGAAGTGATGGAGAGTACTCTGTGGAGAAGGACTTGGAGGTGATGAAAAACCCAACATGAGCCATCAGTGCGTGCTGGCAGCTGAGAAAGCCAAAGGAATTCTGGGCTTCATCTGAAGAAGTGTAAGTTCATCTGAAGAAGCAGGTTAAAGGAGGGGATTCTCCTCCTCTAGCCTTGTGAGACTCTACCTGGATCACTTCATACCATTGTAGTGCACCCACTGTAAGAAAATAAGAAGGATTTGGAACTGTTGGAGCAAGTCCAGAGGAGGCCATGAGGTTGATAAGAAGACTGGAGCACATGCCCTATGAAGACAGGCTGAGAAAGATGGGGCTGTTCAGCCTGGAGAAGAGAAAGTTGTGTGGAGATCCTATAGCAACCCTCCAGTATCTAAAGCATGTTTCTGGTACCTACAGGGAATCAGAAGAGGGATTCTCCATCAAGAACTGCAGTGACAGGACAAGGAGGAATGAGGGAAAATTGAAAGAGGTTAATCCAATTTATGTTAACTATTAGGAAGAAATTTTTTACTCTGAGGGTGGTAAGATACAAGAACAGGTTGCCCAGGGATGTTGTGAATACCCCAAGCTTGGCGGTGTTCAAGGCCAGGTTGCATAAGGCCCAATCTAGTGGCAGGTGGCCCTGCTTTTAGTGGGCTTTGGACTAGATAATCTTTAAGCTCCATTTGAATACCTTAACATTCTATGATTCTATGACTCTACACCTGCTGCCTGAGGGCCCTTCTCAATCAGTCTCTACTTCTGGATGTTAATGGACAGCCTAAGCTTTGCCCTTGGACGTGATGGTGGGGAACAATCAGGGAGAAGTTCATTCTCTTTCATGGTAATGGTAGTGATGGCTGAGCTGGATGCCCATCAGTACTGCCTGACCTCAGGGCTGTGGCCAGGCCAGGGATGGAACTGGATGATGCTGTTCACACAGAGAAAGGGATATTGGAGAAATCACCAGAGCAAATGTGTTGCCATGTCTTGCTCACGATGTGAAATCTATGTATATTTTCACTAAGTGTACCAACTAATGGAGTGAGAGACATAAAAGATTACTGAAGTCCACCTGAAGTAATTCAAACCTATCCTGAGAGAGGTCATGATAGGTAAGATGAATTTCTATGTTTCCTTTCCTTTACAATACCAACCTTTGTGATCCACAGCCATAAAATGATCCGCAATCTGGAGAGCCAACAAGTGGTCAGCAAAACCCATTCACCCTTCAACAGTACCATTTAGCCTATGAGCAAATCTGATGGAGAATGGAGACTGACTGTGGACTATCGTGCCTTGAATGAAGTGACTCTGCCTCTGAGCGCTGCCATGCCCAACATGCTGGAACTCCAGTACAAGCTGGAGTCCAAGGCAGCAAAGTGGCATGCCACACTTGACATTGCCAATGCCTTTTTCTCCATTCCTCTGGCAGCAGTATGCAGGCGTCAGTTTGCTTTCATCTGGAGGAGCATGCAGTACACCTAGAACCAACTGCCCCAGTGTTGTAATGCATTAAGAAATATGGTATAATCTTGAGACATACCCTCTGATCTCTAGAGTGTTAGTTCCTTCCCCTGGCTACTCCTTTCTAGTTTTTCCTTATTGGTTGTAACCTGCTCTCCCTTCCCCTTCTCTCTCGATTTAAAAGGCAGCATGGGATTGGATTCTTCCCCTTTTCTGCACCAAATTCCCCTGATTAAAGCTGGGACCCTGTCCCACAGGAAAAGAGCCTCATTTTATTCCCTAAATCCTTGGAATTATTAACTCCCCCCATCTCTGGGCCACAGCTGGGTGGACCGCAGTAGCAGGGGGGCTGGGGGATATTTAAACAATAGCACCCCAGGGGTGGAAACATGGCCTCAACATCTGCCATGGACTGATCCAGTCTGCAGAAGAAAACAGTGAAGCTCCAAAGGGTCTGCAGTACATCAATGACATCATTGTGTGAAGGAACATGGCAATGGAAGTATTTGAGAAAGGAGAGAAGATCATCCAGATTCTGCTGGAAGCCAGTTCTGTCATCAAGAAAAGCAAAGTCAAAGGACCTGCCCGAGAGATCCAGTTCCTGGGGGTAAAGTGGCAAGACAGATGGCATCAAATTCCCACTGAAGTCATCAATAAATTCACTATGATATCTCCACTGACCAGCAAAAAGGAAATTCAAACTTTCCTAGGCAATATAAGTTTTTGGAGAATGCGTATTCCTGAGTACAGTCAGACTGTGAGTCCTCTTATCTTGTGACCCACAAGAGGAACAATTTCCAGTAGGGCCCTAAACAGCAATAAGCCTTTGCCCAGATCAAGCAAGAGATGGCTCATGCAGTAGCCCTTAGCCCAGTCAGGATGGGACCAGAAGTGAAGAACGTGCTTTACTCTGCAGCTGGGAACAATGGCTTGTCCTGGAGTCTTTGGCAGAAGGTGCCTGAGGAGACTTGAGGCCGACCACTGGGATTCTGGAGCTGAAGTTACAGAGAGTCTGAAGCCAGCTGCACTCCCACAAAGAAAGAAATCTTTGCTGCCTATGAAAGAGTTCAAGCTGCCTCAGAGGTGGTTGGCACAGAAGCACAACTCCTCCTGGCACCCTAACTACCAGTGCTGAAATAGATGTTTAAAAGAAAAGTGCCCACCATGCCACTGATAGCACATAGAGCAAATAGATTGTCCTCATCATTCAATGCACCCATATTAGAAACCCAAATCACCCTAAGATTTTAGAAATAATTGCGAACTGGCCAGAAGGTGAAAACTTCAGTCTCACTGACAAAGAAGAGAAATGAGACAAAGAAGTGACACGGGCTGAAGAAGCTTCACTGTACAACCAGCTACCAGCAGAAGAAACACACTACACTCTTCACCAACAGTTCCTGTGACATCATAAGGATGAACTGGAAGGAGAAAGCAGCCATATAGATCCCCACACAATAGGCTGCAGAAGCTACTGAAGGAGAAGGTGGATCAAGTCAACTCAAAGATGTTCAACTGGCCTTAGACATTGCTAAAAAAGAGAAGTAGGCAAAGCTCTACCTCTACACTGATTCACAGATGGTAGCCAGTGGTCTGTAGAGTTGGCTAGAATGATAAAAAAAAGGCAAATTAGCAACGTAGAGGGAAACAAATCTAGGCTGCTAATAAGTTAAAAGACATTGCCACTCAGGTAGAGAAGCTATCTGTGAAAGTCCATCATGTCCCCAAGGATCAGGCTAATGAAGAGCACCAAAACAATAAAAAAATAGATCAAGCTGCAAAGACAAAATTGTCAAAGATAGACTTAAACTGGCAATACAAGAAAGAGTTGTTCCTAGCTTGATGAGCCCAAGATGCCTCAAATCATCAAGGCAGAGATGCCACCTATAATTAAGCACAAGACCAAGGGGTAGATTTAACCATAGGTGGTATTTCTCAGGTTATCAATGACCTGTGAGACATGTGCTATAATCAAGCAGACCAAGTGGTTGATTGATACTTTAGTAGGCGGTACTCCAGATATAAGTATAGAAAGGCCTGACAGATTGACTACATCACACTGCCTCAAACCCACCAAGGCAAGCACTATATGCTCACAATAGTAGAAGCCACCACTCAATGGCTGGAAACCTACCCTGTGCCTCACACCACTGCCCAGAACACCATCCTAAGCCTTAAAAAACAAGTCCTTTGGAGGCATGGTACCCCTGAGAAGATTAAGAAGATTAGTCTGACAACAGGACTCATTTCAAGAATAGGCTTATAAACACCTGGGCTAGAGAAAACAGCACTGAATGACTGTACCATGTGCCTTATCATACACCAGTGGCTGGGAAAGTTGAATGGTGCAATAGCCTGCTTAAAACCAGCTTCTAAGCACTGTGTGGGGAGACTTCCAAGAACTGAGAAATCAATTTAGAAAAAGCCACATAGTTAGTGAACATGCAGAGTTCCACTAAACCAAGCAAACCCTGCCCAATCTGAGCCCTTGAGAGTAACAGATACTGATAAAGTTCCATTAGGACATATGAGTAGCATGCTAAGAAAAAAATTTAGGCTAATTCTGCCTCTAGCAAAGACAATCCAATCTATGGGGCTGTCTTCAGTCAGAGACCAGGTTGCACCTGGTGGGTGATGCAAAAAGATAGAGAGACCCAGTGCATACCTTAAGGGTACCTTATTTTAAGGTGAACTACCCCTGACACTGTGCTTGCATCTATACCTGCATATAAATGTGTATATAATTAAAGTAGTGAATGTTTGTATATAATTTAAAGGTTTAAAATTTGATATAACATATTAGTATGAGAAAAAGTCAGGGTAGATAATGTTAGTGCTTAAGTGTCTTACCTTTCATTCCTTCTCACCTATAGAATTTTCCCCATTAATTGCAGAAAAACCTGACTGTTAGTACTTGTTAAGTGCTTGAGAAGATAAAAATTTAGCTAGACCAAGGAGAAAAAGAAGTAGGTAAAAAAGAAGGCAGAGGCGGCTGCTAGATGGCTCACTTCTTCAGCTTCAAAGTAGAATTCACCATAACCCATAACCCAGAAGGATCATCATCTTCATCTTCTTTCTTCTTCTTCTTTCTTCTTCTTCTTTTTCTTCTTCTTTTTCTTCATCTTCATCTTCTTTGTCTTCATCTTCTTCATCTTCTTCTTTGTCTTCTTCTTCATCTTCTTCATCTTCGTCTTCTTCTGATACATCTTGTCCAGCCTGGGATTTCTGCTCATTCCTGCTGTTCCAGCTAAGTGTTCCTCGGAGTCCTGCTGGGGTACCAAGGTCGACTCCCTGCAAAAAGTTTGTGATGCAAAAGCTCTCCTCCATCCTTTCCCATCTCAGCTGAGAAGGCTGTCACAGAGTCCCTGGTTCTGTTTTGTTATTAATAAAGTTAATAGTTACTGTTATTCGTGTTATTGTTATTTGTTTGCCTTATTTTATATACTAGAAAATAAATGTTATTCCTATCCCCATATCTTTGCCTAAAAGCCTCTAAATTTCAAAATTATAATAATTCAGAGAGAGAGTTTACATTTTTCTTTCCAAAAAAATCTCCTACCTTCCCTAACAAACACCTGTCTTTCAAAGCAAGACACCTTTACAATACCAACCTTTGTATAGGTTGTATACTCACCTAAATATATAGGTTGTATATAACCTAGGAGAGTGTCTCCTTTGGTCTCTCTTCTAAAAATTTGCTTAAGCAGTGATAGTTTGATGGTGTCTTGATGAATGCACTAACTCTCTGAGGGCTACAGGTATGTCAGATCTTGCAGCAGCTGTTAGATATTTCTTGGTCCTTTGAAAAAAGCTCTGGAATTAAACACTGTAGGCAAGGGAAAGCATTTTGTGGAGATTTTTGTGATGGAAAATGAACAATTCTAACTTCAGTAAGGTAGTGCCATCAATACTTTTTTGAAAATCTTCATTTTCTATCAAAAGTTCTAGCTTTCTGTACTGTTCTCATTAATAGCTGCAGACAAAATGATGGGATGTTGATGAAAAAATGATGAAAAAATTTCCTGGATGCAAAAGGCAGATAAAAGAATATACATATTTTTCAGATCAAAGCATTAGT